GCAGACCTGACATCAGCGAAGTGATAATTCGTACTAAATATTAACGGTGTATTATACATGGACATGGCCCAATGAAAGGAGGGGGTCAGAAGAAGTATTCATAAGAATACGTATCCTGGCCCTCATGTATCGACCAAATTAACATTTAACCGCATCAAACTAAACATTGTAAAACCCAAATCATCGACCACACAGGAGGGTCACAGACCTAAATACCGACAAGAATATTTTGCTTTCGTCTTTAATTCAGAGTTAACGATAAATTGTTTATTGTTGTTGTTTACTAGGACTACTTTATCTCCCAGCTCCTGAGTAAAAATAAACTAAATATTATAAACCATAACTAGTTTCCGCGTGAATAACAGCATACTCTCCCATCTGTTGATTTCAGCCCCGTGCAAAAAATTATAATCACCTTCCTAAATAAGGTTGAACTTCGTGCCCTTGAATGCACGTGTTTGTTGTTCATGACAATACTGACACGATGCTGACTATGCAAGTAATTTTATTTTCTGTTAAATTAGTTCTATAATGTAATTAATCAAGTTTTATAAAGTTATAATTTGGGACAATGCAAACCTTCATCATTGGTACTTTTTGAATTCTTGAAATGATGTTCAGGTACATTAAAAAAAAGTTTCACCACCTTACATTATTAAGCCGAAGCATCCTTAGTGAAGGCCAGTCTCTGTGACAACGTAAACGTTCAACATCTGTTATTGTTGTCTGGGTTATTTGGCTTCCTGTATGGGGCTAAGAGGAGGGGCTGTCGTGTGTAATTCAATTTAATATTGCATTGTTAAGTTGCACTTTTCTTCGTATAGTAGTTACCTTTCTCTGGAAACCAACATTCATCTTGATAAATAGGAGAAACGTTCCACAGCTGTTACTCTTGTTCCTGTCCATTCCTCCTCTGCTCTTGGGGTACTAACTTGTACATTTCATTGTCGTTTTTTGTTTTGTTTTTCTGACTTATATCAAAGCTACTTTATCGATTTAATACGGGATGTAATACAATTTGTAACTGCAAAACAGTTACTTACATCTAAGAAAAAAAGAAGAGAAAGAAGTTACGGTTGAGACATTTCTTTGGTACTAATATGAAGTCCTTAGCACATTAAAAGTTTTCAATGGATTTTAAAATTCTCCTAGATAATAATGAAAACGTAAAAGCATTTAATTTGATGATATATGCATTAAAACAGACTGATTACTACTAAAGGTCTCTGATATCTCACTCTGTGGGAAAACATTCACTAAGACAATACGAGGAGATCTAACCGATTACTACAAAGTGGGTAGCACATGCTTTCAAGTTTTCTAAGGAAATGGGTACTTTTTATGGGTAAGGTTCAGATATAAAATGCCCTAGAAATCTATAAAACGGGGAGAGGGGTGAATCGTCACCTTTAATTGAAAACGTTTCACCATTATATGAATACGACACTATAACTAGATATACCTGACAACTTCATAATATATACACAAAACATGAATGTACATAAAATCCAACAAGTCTTGAGACGAGGGGATTAAAAAATATGTAACTTCCTACATAGGAAGTCATTCTGAAGAAAACAAGAGGGAATCCTCAATAGCCGCGGCACTTGAAATTCTTTTTGGCAGGATGAGAGTAAATTAATCTATAAAACTTTTTCTTTCTTTTTTTATTAGCTATATTTTTGTGTGCAACAATTCCAAGCGTGAGGCACGCATATACCCGATTCGATTTTATTACTCATCAGGATCTTTACTAGCCTACCCTTAAACTGAAATTCTTTTAGGCAGGATTAGTGTAAATTACTCTATGAGACCTTGGGAATGGTCAAATACATCAAACGATAGGGTTTGACCTCCTGAGTCCGAAACTGTAATTAGATTTCAAATCGGTAAAGAGATGACAGAGCTATAAGCTAAAGTTTGTACTTGAAAACAAAAACCTCAGAGCCATTCTATGAGCAGCTGTGTCGCGGCTAAAAATGTGGAAGAATGGAAGCTAGGAATGAGGGTTATTCGCAGTTTATAAGAACTATATTGAAACATTGTGATATGATATTAACAGAATTAGTTTTAGACTTAAGTATAGGTTGGAGGCTAGTAGTTTGCTCGCCTGGACTGTGAACACAAGGATTTACGGTTTACGTCCCGTTGTCTAATAAAACAAACAACCGCACTTTGAGGCCTTTGATGCGCTATAAGAATGACAGTTATATCCCACTTTTCGTCAGACAAGGGTAGCCCAAAATTAGGGACGGCTATGCTCAGATAACCCTTTGTAAAGCTTTACCCGAAAAATAAAAAAAATAACGAAAAAGTTAAGTAAATAGAATATTTATTTAAGAAATTGTTTGTTTGTTTTGGAATTTCGCGCAAAGCTACACGAGGGCTATCTGCGCTAGCCGTCCCTAATTTAGCAGTGTAAGACTAGAGGGAAGGCAGCTAGTCATCACCACCCACCGCCAACTCTTGGACTACTCTTTTACCAACGAATAGTGGGATTGACCGTCACATTGTAATGCCCCCACAGCTGAAAGGGCGAGCATGTTTGGTGTGACATTTAAGAAATCTAGGACGTTTATGGGGTTAATTGTTTGTTTGTTTCAGATATTCGCGCAAAGTTGCACAAAAGCTTTCTGTACAGAAAACATCCCTAATTTTGAATTAATAGACCAGAAGAAAGGTAGCTAATCAACAGCATTCATTACCACATTTGGGCTACTCTAATCATAAAGTGAGATTTGATTGCTACTTTTATAACGCACCTATAAAGCAATTTTTTTTTTCAATATTGGGACAGGAACCATGGCCCTCAGATCCACAACCCAGTAGGATAATCACTGGGCCACGCCCTGCCGAAGACAAAAGATAAAAAGTAATTTGTGATCCTATATAAAACCTTTGCTCACCTTAAAATATACTGATTTTCCGTATCATTAAACCTAAAATTAGTAATTGAGAGTTACCAGAAAATACGACTGGAGTGACGAAATAACTACAATAATATCTTCACACCTAATAAGAAGGCGGGGAAGCCGGGGAAATTGCCCGAGGCCCACAGTTCCGAAGGTGAACCCTGAAGAAGGCAACGAAAATAAATACTGGTTAGACAATACTGATCATTCTAAGGTTTCAAAAAACAATAACAGCTAACAAAATCTCATTCAGGCACTCTTCATAAACGTCATTTTCTGCACAATCCCAATCATCGTAGCAGGAGGGTAACGGTCAATTAGCAAGTCGAAACCAGTTAAAGATTATCTAATCAAAAACAGCTTAGGTGCAAAAAAAAGGTGCCGCCAAAAAATGATTCAGCTTTCGCTTTATCGGCGTTTGGTCGTTGTGTGCGACCTGGGAGGGTCAGGTTCACTCGGACCTCTTCCTCAAGGATTGAGCGTGCGACTTAAAGGAATGGAATAAAAAAATGGCGGTCAAACTGGTAGCTACACATTATGGTGGGTAAAACAAAATACGCGGCCTAGCTAACTAATGAATTATTATTTACTGAAATAGCTACACGTACTTACAGGTGTGTTTCTGAATAATAGCGATGTGTAGGACAGAGAATTTTGTCACTAAAGACATTAAAGCCCCAGAGTGGTTAAGGCCTTGAAAAGTATGCACACGACAGTTCTCTGCTATCTTTATACCGTTTTCTTTAACTCTTGCTTTCTTCTCTGTCCTTCAGTTTGTCATTCGTCCGCTTGTTTATCCATTTATCTGGCTGGACCATTAGCTGGTAATTCAACTCTGTTTCGCTCGAAATTTTGAGCACATTTTCCAAGAGGTAATACTTAATACGTTAATAGTGTGCAAGAGGTAATACTTAATATGTTAATAGTGTGCAAGAGGTAATACTTAATAT